ATATATATATATATATATATATATATATATTGGTATAATAAATAAGAGGATAACTTTAATTACTCTAAACCAAGATATGATGTGCTAATCTCGTGCATATGTTGACTTTTAAACCTCCACAGTCTGAGCTTGTGAGAGCCACGAATCCATGTTCCGAGATAACTTACATATATTTCACTCTAAAAAAGTTAATAGAGGCTAAAGCTGTTGTTTATGCATATTTTATTTCATTTCATTTAATCATTTCTAGGTGTGTAGAAATCTCAAAAAATCCATACCCATAATACCTGTGGATAAAACCTGTAATGAATAAAAAGTAGATATTGTAAATAGGTACTCGCCGATAATAAATACGGATATTTTTATATTAATATATTAATAAAGAGGATATGAGTATCATTATATTTGTACCCACTAGTATTTAATTTATTTGAAATTATATGAATTTAATTTTATTTAAACTTTATTTGTATTTATAATAGTTAAGTATTCTATTATTATTTTTTATTTTAATTTATGTGTAATTAAAATATTTAATTTTATTATTAGTTGAATTTTAAATTTATATAATTGAACGTTTAAAATTTAATTTTTAAATTTACTTATTATTATTATTATAATTATGAAACTATTAGAATTTTAACTTTATAATTTTCAAACTCTTTTCTATTCAAATTTATATAACTTTTAAAAGGAAAAAAATTGTTACAAATAATTAAAATATATGATTAAAATATTTTGTTAAATATTTAAAAATAATAATAAATATCTGTAAATACTATATATATCTGCAAATTAAAAAAAAAAATGTGAGTATCCATATAATAAATACCTTACAGATACAGAAATAGGTAAATGACACATATTTGTTTGAGGAAAGGGGTAGTGCCCATATTCATTCCACCCACTGACATTCCAATCCATGTTATACTTATGTATTTGGCCTCCTTATTGTAATCAAAGTACATTCCCGTAACTTACATATAAACTTTTCGTCCTTTAATTTTTAATTAATATACTGTTTTAGTTATCTTATTTTTAATTATCCAATTTTCATTTATCAATTTTTAATAAATTATAATTTATTTGATCATGAAATTCGTATAAATTTCATATTTAAATTAGAAAAGTTATTCATGTAAAAATATATATAGTAATATTTTATGTTGTCATACTATTACACGCAAGTATTTAAATTTTAGATTTTTTTTAAATAAGAGACTAAAATTACATGATTAAAAATAAATAAATTAAAATTATAGATTAAGAGCTAAATAAAAAATAAAAAATAATTTAATCAACCAGAATTGGTGACAAAATATCATTATTCTTCTAATAAATATATATTTTCATGTGACATAGGCTCTCATGCATGAACATGACACTGACACACTGTCTTGCAAGGAGATGGAAAGAAAATCAAAAGAAAAGAAAAGCAAACTACTTGTGCATACATATGTACTATGCGGCACCCACAAACAGTTGGTTCAGTAAGTTTAATTAGATAAATCTTTTCGGTAACGAATAGAATGTATACTTTTTTTAAGTTAAAATTAGTTTACAAATAAGTTAATTTGTAAAAATTCTTTTATATCAACATTTTTAAAATTTTTAATTTATAAAAAAAATTATTTTATTTTTATTTTTATTTTTTCTTTTAGAAATATTTCAAAAAAACTTTTATCCAAAAGTACACTATCATATTTAATCAATCCTGTTAAAGCACATTGTAGACAGACATATATAAATTACATTAGACTAACCGATTACACGTGAGAATAATCAAATATTCCCTCCATACAACACGGAAACTTGACAAGTGCAAAGTCTAAACATTAATTCAATCTCAATGCATGGTTAAGACTTTTGAAAGCTAACTAAACAAAATGGTTTTCATCAAAGTTGAAATCGGAGCTGAAATGAGAACAAAACATCCCAAAATCCATGTCCAGACTCCGAGAGGCAGTACATGAATACCCAATATCTGCATTATCAGATGCTATTTTCAAGGCATTGGATAGTTCAAAATCCTTCAAATCAGACCACAGGTTAGCATCTGTAAGATCACTGGGAGTGTCCTCGTTGGGATATTCTTGTTTTACATTTGTTGTGCTTTGTGATCCCATAGGAGGATCATGTTGTTGTTCATTTGACACAATGTTTGAATGAGGATGAGAATTCTCGAGAAATGAGTCTCGAGTTTCAGAATATGTGACCAATTGTGGAGCATTGAGGTTGAGGGTGTCTTTGCATGTGTGAAAGCCAATGTAAGTAATATTATACATGTCAGGATTCTCTTGTATCCGTTGCACCTGTTTCGTTGCTCGGCAACCTTGTTCATACTTCCTAGTGCACCTAAAGTAACTCCTGCACATTATTTATCATTAAATTGTACAAGTTTTTGAAACAAATTAAAATACATATTAAACTCGTGAAATGCTAGTAAATTTGAGTGTGTCCTACTGCGTAAATAACCTCAATGTTCATCAAAGTTGACTAATTCGGGTTTCTGCATTAATTAATTAGTTTTCAGCTGCAGTGTTGTTTGAGTTTAGAGTCTTCTTTTGGTATGATATCAGAAAAGGAAGTGTTCACATATGCAACGGAAATAGCACGAAAGAAGTGTACTAAGTCCTAGCATTCCCAATTAAAATACTTTCTTCAAATGATATTTTTATATAAATCACTCTGTTGCTCAACTTTTTTCTCTGCAATGAAAGGAACCAAAAATAGAAAAAGACAATAAATAGTGAAACAATGTTTTGCACAAATTAAACTAATGAATATCTTTCTTTGGTATAGGAAAAAAAATTGCCAAAAAAAATGGAAAATAATGATTACCTGGGAAATTGAGAATTTAGGATCTCCTTTTGTCCGTACTTTCTCCATGCATGATTATCATCATTTGTTTGAGAAACAATGGTCCATGTCTGTTCAGTCCTCCTGCACAGCAATTTAAGATAACCATGCATGTTATTTCGTGTAATAATAAACTATTGTTGGAGATTCAGAATATGTAAAGAAAAAATAATCGTTTTCCTTTTCTTGCTTTTTTTAAAATCTTTTATTTTATTCTTTTTTTTTTTTGTAAACCATCAAATTATGAAGAAAGAGAAAATATATATAAAAAAAATCAACAAATATGAAGGAAAGATCTAAGAAAGACAAAAAAAAAATGATGATGATGTGAAACAATTGCATTGTTCGGTAAGATATCAAGACAAGCCACTAAGCTAAAATAAAGGAACCCACTAGAAAACTCCTTGCATCAATCAAAATCAAAGGATGAGATTGAGAACTCACTGCATATTAAGATATTCTAAAAGTCCAATAAACTTAGCTTCAAACTCAAAGTATCAATTTTTTTTTTCCCACTCAAGAAAGATCAACATTTACTCATATTATGTACAACAAGTATGACAGTGTCCGTACACACCCCAATCCACCAAATCCTCCGACTACCACCCCCAAATCGCCGACATAACAACCTTTGTTGACCGAAGAAGTAATAAGACAGCAACACACACACTCAAACACAATTAGATCAGATAACAGAAAAGAGAATTAAAAAAAAAAAAAAAAAGACCTTCTTTTGTAGGACCCTCTCCGATCCTTTGCAAGGGGCAATGATCCCTTCCTACTCTCAGTGGAATCCTCAGACCTCGGATTAATGCTGGAAGCCACAAGCTGCGAGGCATCTTCTCCGAGATTCTGAGAAACGTGGTCATCATCATCAGAAGAAGTCAAGACAGAGAGAGTCTGAGAGAAAGATCTGAGAACATTAGACACTAGTTCCTTAGCAGAAAGGAAGCCACGAGGCCCAATAGGGTTCTGAAGCAGAAACTTGAGCTGAGTGGCATAATCCTGACCCTGAACAAGTTCTCTGATGAGCCTTTTCCCCTTGGCTGAGGAAGTGGGAGGGAAGAGAATACTCATCATTATTGGGGTGTCTACTTGGTGGCTAAGAATTCTGTATTATATGAAATGATAGAGAATAATGGTGAGAAAGAAAGGGTTGAGGTTTTGCGAGGAAAGAGAAGGGAAAATGTGGGGAAGGAAGGGGTGATGTTGAAATGTGGGGGGAAATTATTTTCCACAGATATTAACTTTGCTTGGCTTACAAACCTAACCATGACGTTGCTCTTGTGATCAATGGCTGACGCTAATTTTGAAATTCCAAAGGTGACAATAGCTTTTATGTTTATTAATTACAAATGTAAAAGTTCACTGGTTATAGTACTCAACCACGTTGTTTTTTTAATGCCTATTCAATTCGCCTTGTCGTTTCTCAATATTTCTTTTTATTAAATAAAGTTTATTTTGTAAAACTATTATTTTCAATATATTTATAACTTTTTTTTGGTAGGTAAAACATTCAAAATTCACAATTATTTTGATATATATATATATATATATATATATATATATGTTTAAGTGTGAGTATTAAAAAGGATATAAAATATAGATAATATTGTTGGTATAGTTTTTTCTTGACTTAATTATTTCTAAAATAATTTATACTATCAATTAATTATATTATTTTAAACATAACTTTAAAATAATATTTATAAAATTACAAATTTTATTATACAAGATAAAATTTAATAATTTTATACAAACTATAAATTAAAATTATAAGACTGGAGATTTCTCTCTCTCTTTTCTTCATTCTACTCCTTCCTTTCCTTAAACTTTTTCATTTTTGGGTTCTCAAAGGTTGTTGAACTTTAGTAATGCGAGGAAGCTTCGAAGTTCTAGAGTCGAATTTTCATTCCCGTTCTCTTCTTATTTTTCCTTGGATAGCACAGAGTCGAATTTTATTCCCTTCCGAAGTAAGGGAAGTTAGAAACTTTGTTAATTTAATGTTGAGTGTAACGATGAGCAATGTGTGGTTTCATGCGTTAGCTGAATGAGGATGAATTTGAGGGGTTTTGAGTTGAAAGATTGGGGTTTTGAGTTGCTTGAAGAATGAGATGATTCTTTGAAATCTTGATGCATGCATGTTGAAATTTTTGGATTTTCTGGATTGTATGAACAAAATGAGTAGAGATTATGAAGGTAGATCATGCTTAGGGGTAAGATTGATGGATTATAGGTGAAAAACGAAGGTGGGAAGCCATGTAGAAAGCTCTACACTCAGCATTGGAGCTCCGAACCAGCGTTGTAGTTGTGAGAGAAAACAAGGAGGCCGAGATCTGGCGTTGTAGCTCCAAGTTAGGGGTTGCAGCCCCAGGAGAAAACGAAGCTGGCAGAAAGTCAAAGTTGGAGCGTTGAATTAAGCGCTGCAACGCTAGGGGTAGATGACCAAATTTGGTCTTGGGGTCTTCATGAAAGTTGTAGTCTTGAATGTTAGCTTTCCAATGTCACTGAAATCACCCAAAAAGAAGGTCTAGAACTCCATTTATGACCTTTTTAGTAAGCAAAGGTCAAGATATCAGCATTTAGGAAAATAATTACGATTTTTTACAATTTTTAACATGGTAGATGAGTGAATTAGAACCTGAGTTCTTCACGAAAGTTGTAGAAAATATTCTTGTCTTTCATATATGAGATAAGGATGACAGTGACAAGATTAGCGAGTTGAGTGGTGTTGTTCGGTGGTGAGTCACGTCGAAGGTGGCTCTCTTTTGATGTTGCTACCCTAAAGGTAGCTAGGTCTTATATAAATGCTTGACCGGCGACTAGGTTTATCTTGTATATAGTAGTTACTTCTTTTGTACTAAGTACGTATATATGTTTAAGGACAAACATTTTATTTCTTACATATATGACTATTTACATGAGATTTAACTACTTATTGCATGATATCCTATACTAATGTTTGATGTTGATGCTTCTGCTTAGTTTCTGTTGAATCATAGTAAGTATAGTGACTAAGAGAATCGTTACAAAAATACTTAAATATTATCAAAAGGAGGTGTCTCAAACAAGATAAATACATAACTAAAAAAAAATATGTTTAAAATAGAAGGGCTACCACCAATATTTATTTAAAAAAAATGAGAAAATCTTTTAAAAAAGAAAATAGTCTTTGAAAAATAATTTTTAAATTGAAGAGCTAATTAAATATAGAGAAGGTGCAAACACCATGTGACATCGATGCTTAGACAGTTTAATTATTTAAGCAAATTATTTATTTATACTACTAATAAAGGCAATATGTTTTTTTTTTCATAGATTTATTTTTCAAACTTATCATACTCTTTAAATAATTACTTAAAATTGTTCACATTCTCTAATTATTAATTATCCACATATATTTTAAATTCAATTGTTTTTATCATTTATTTTATTTTATTTTATAAAAAGTAAACGGAGACATAAAATACTTTTTTACACTAGTACTATTAATAAAGATGATATGCCTTTTTGATATACAAATTTTGTTGATCATTATGTCTCTCAACTTTCAAAACACTCTTTTTCTTCCATACTTTTTTTAATTTAGTTTTTAATATATATTTTTCTCAATTTTTTCAAAAATTAATTTTTTAAACTTCTCACACTTTCTAAATAACTATCAAAATTGTCCTTTAATTTTTAATCATTCATACATATTGAACTTCAATTATTTTATCATTTATTTTATTTTTAACTTTTAAACCAAAATACATAATGTAACAACCCAATTTTCAATGGGCCGTAGGCCCAATTCGTTGCCCAGAACGGGTCGTTTCAAAAGTGAAACGGGCCGTTCTGGAATAAGTTAAAGGCCCAAAATTTGAGAAGCAGAACGGGCCGTTCTGGAGGGAGAACGGGTCGTTCCGATTTGGAGAACGGGCCGTTCCGGAGGGAGAACGGGCCGTTCTGCTGGGATTGGGAACGGGCCGTTCCAGTTCAAAAATTTGCGTAGATTTGAAGGGTCCAGAACGGGCGTTCCACTTTTGGAACGGGCCGTTCCGGTAGGTGAGCCTGAAATTCTATAAATAGCGCCCCTCACCTCTCATTTTCACACATCTCTCATTTTCTCTTCCTATTCTCTTCTGCTCTTTCTTCTTCCCCTCTTCTTCTCTCTGAAGACCATGGGGCACTTAGAGGAGGAGACCAAGAGATCCCTGTTGTAGTTTCAACTGCTGCTTATCCAGGTACGGGAGAAAAA